AAAGAAAAAAACCCCCAAAAAAAAAAAAAAAAAAAAAAAAAAAAAAATGGTTTCTCCCTAGAGAAGGCCCCTGTGAGCAACTAGCTGCCCATTTTATGAGTCATTTTCTAATATTTTTAAAAATCCATTAAAAACATATATAAAGTATTAGCTAGGGCAGTGTTAATGACTTTTCTCAAAATTTGCATTAAACTTTGATAAAAGATACAAATATATTTTAATGACTCTAACAGCGTCTAGGTAAAATAGCTATATGGATGTGATAATAAGGGATTTGTCTGTGTATAATAAAATTGTACACATTTTCCTACATCTCCTTTTAACAAGAGACTTTCTTTTACCAGATTTATGTATTTTCTCTCCTATGCTGACCTTTCCCTGTCCCTATCACCTCCACCAAGTGCTCTTTAACAAAAATAAACTGGTTTACCTGGTCTAACAATATATTCATTTCCTGGAAATGCTGTACTATACATTCATTTGGTATTTTACAAAAGCAATTATTCTAACACCAAGACTTCTTAAGAACATCTCTACACCTCAAGTATATTTGTGACATGAAATGAGAACGTGAGCTTCCCTTTTGTTTCGTTTTCATTAAGAATATAAACCTTTTCTAAATACAAATTCCTTAAAATGAATTTAGGCAATGAAGTAGATAAGTTATATTAAACAGCTTCTAGAATCAAAGAGACATTCTGATGGCCTAGGCTATCAAAATATTTCTTTGTCTTTCATGTTCATTTTACTTGGGGTACAGACAAACATTTAAAGGATTTTTTCAACCAGGTTTGACTCAGTGACAGTGAAAACATACAACATTCAAGTACTGTTATTAGACAAATGCGGCCCTGCAAGGATATGTGTCCACATAGCTAATTTTACAAAGGAGAACTATCTTAATTAACCTGCAGTATATTTGACCCAAAAAACCTTTTGAAATGGTTTTGACTTTTGGGTCTATAGCATTCGTCCAAAGGTCCTGGAGATCTTGTAAATGTCCGTGAGATGTCATCATTTTATCATAGATGCAGGGATGATAAGGAGTTTTACCCTCTCCAGAAAAAAATACATGGTACTGTGGTACTATTCCCATTTTATTGGCACACAGGCCCATGAACACATCGTCTATGTAAAGACTAGAATTAAGTGTCTGTGATGCCTCATAGACTTTGGCAGCTACGTCACCAGAGATGACATAGGCAGCTCCAGCTGTATAGTCAGGGTAGGCTGGCCACTGGTACATTTCATAGGACACGTAATATTTGCTGTTTTTATCCCTAATGGGAGGAGCACCACGATGAACACGACCAATCCAAAAGTCCTGAACACCAATCTGTTCTAAACTTTGAAGGTATTCAATCAGATTTGGCATGTGAATAAATATGTCATCATCAGCAGTCATAAGAAATTTGGCATGTGGACAATACGTGTTTGCCCAACTGAACTGCAGAAGTAATTTCAGAGTAAGATTGTGGAAAGAATCAACAAAGTCTTGCTGAATTATATCATTGTACTTTTGATCTTCCAAAACCAGTTTTCTCTGCAGTTCTTTTCCCTCCAGTGGATTAGGAGTTCCTAAGGCAAACAGAGTTTTGATGTTGGCTTTCAGCTGAGACCGAGCATAATTCTCGTTGCCCCACGTCTTTCTAATTGCGGAACGTCGATCATAGTTTTCAGGAGCAGTTTTTACAAACAGTAAAAGGAGGACATCTTGAGCTTGACACTTTTCCTTGTGGTTAATCAAGTATTGGTAGCGAGGTCCAGCTGAGATGTGCTTAAGAGACAGGGTATCATTCACAAAGTCATAGCTATTTATGAGGTATCTGTAAGAATATGACTTCATATGGCTCACAATGTGATTATCGATCGGTTCCCAAAAAAACATGAGGCTCAGTATAAAACAAGCGGCAAATAACCGAATAATAAACTGCCATTTTTTGACTCTTCTGCCACCAATCAACATTCTCATATCCACTCCGGTGTTTTTATTTAGGATCAGTTTTAAACAGGCACCTGCTTCTTCGCCACCGTAGAGCTTCGTATTGCGTGGAGTAGATGTCCATCTTAATACATGCTGGCCGTTAAAAATGGAAAACAGTCTTCTTATTTTACAAAATAGTTTGTTTTAATCCCATTTTTCTGAGATTGCAAAGGAATGGAACACCCTGTAGAACGAGGACACTGGCACATCGAAATTCTTCCACATGGGCATCCTTCAGGAAGCATGGTGAGCGGCCTCAGGCGGCAATTCCATGTGAGCATTCCATGCCACCTAGCAAAGTCAAGAAGAGAATCACAATTGCGTGGGTTATTGAGGGCCTGGAAAGAAACATATTCCTAATTCCTTAAAACCAAATGTAACCTGCCTGATCTAGACAAAAGGTGATGAGGCAGTTAGTATTTAGCAGAGGCAAATGGCTGTTTATTTTTTTTAAAGGACAGGAAAAGGGAAAAAATTGCTTTACACCGTCTTCCCATTCAGAATACAGAGAACTTTTTCTACTCCTACTCTAAAAAAAAAAAAAAAAAAGCCTCCCAAATGGCTATAATCTTGTATACTTAAATTCAAATTTCACACCAAGTGGGCATATTCATGAATATATTGACTTGAATACAGTCGGGATGAAAGTAGACACACAGATCAAGGCAAAATCTTAAATGAAAAGAAAATTCACAGCAGTAAAAATCCAGCAAGGCTTGCCCCAGACAAGGCAGGAATAAGAGTGAGATTTTTTTTTAATTAAAGTTCATAATCAAGGAGTCACAACTTGCTCCTTGAAAGCAAACTCTCCATAATCAAAATTACTTTGTGAGCTCCAGATTCATATAGCCACCTTCTTTCTCTACTTTTTTATTTGGAAATGCAACAGGCGCCTCAGTGAAACATGTTCTAAACTGGGAAGCAACAGAATGTAGCCAACACGCACTCTTTGTAGTCAGGCAATCTTAACGCCAGTGCTGCCTCAGCCACTTACCGTTCCTTGTACAGTATGATGCATCTAAGGCGGACATCTGACAAATTGAGATATGACAGTTTCACTCAAAGTCTTTATGCAGATTAAATGGGAATATACATGATAAATACAGGGAAGCAGATAATTACCTAGCGCACTAGGGTACTCAAGCGCCATTTCTTCTAACCCATTTTGTTATCTTCTCCCCTAAAACCTGCTGTTCCTATTTCCCTTTATTTGTGCCTAACTGCCCTTCTTTCATCTATACCTGAAATCTGGAAACTCCCCTTTTCCTCCACTTCCGTATCTCAGTGTTTAATCCTGCGAATCACTTCTTCTAAATCTCTCACCTCTTCATGTTATCATCACTTTTGACTCAGACTGGATGATCCCCCAGCCAACTCGTCTTCCACTGTACAGTCGGATAGCGACCTTTGTAAAACTTGGATTTAACCACGAGGCTGACTGAGCTTTCTTCACTCCTTTCAGTGCCTCTCCGTTAGTTAGTGACAAGATGAAGTCTAGCCTGGCACACAGGACCCTTTAGGGTCTGCCTCTCCAGCTGTCTGATCAATCATTTGACAATACCAAATGACTGGATGAAAGCACAGTCACACCTGCCATTTCACAGGCTGGTCTTTACACTAGGCGTCCTGTGGCCGGGCTACCCTGCCTCCCTTGCTAATACGACGTCTACAGGCATCCTTCTCTGGGAAGCCTGAACTGGGATCAACCCGTTTCCTGAAAGATGCTTCTCATCTGTATTGTCCCAGCACCTTCTTAGACCCTGTACAGACTTTTTAGGCACAATGTTGTAGACACCCTACACTCAGCATCCAGGACAGGGTGTGACCCCTGGGAGGCATTCACCAAATGTTGGTGCAAAGAACCATGCTGGGGGTGGAGCCACCATTCAATCAAAGTGATGGTTACTGGGGAAGGACTGGGGGTCAGGACGCCGAGTCAAGTGCCACCTCGGACGAGGTCCATGCCATGGCTGCCTACCGCAGGTCCTCTCTTTTCTTCTACCCCTGGGACGAAGCACCCTCCTTCCTCAAGGATTCTCTCCCCAGTGTTTGCCACAAGCACAACTCTTTCTTGGCTGGAGAAGTAGGCTCTCTTCCTCAGGGGTGGTACACTAGTTTCCTGGGCTTTGGACAGGACTGACAGGGAGAGAGCCATATAGGCTTAGCCACACAGCAAGCCCACGGCCAAGGCCCTGCTTTGTGCCAGAGATCTAGCCTCAAGTCCCTCCACTACTGACCCCTGACAGAAAACCAACTGCACATGCTGAGCGCCCTACAGAATGGGCCCAGCCTCAGCTGTGATACCTCCTTCCCGACTTTAGAGCTTTGGGATCAGCTGTATTTCCCACCCCCATCAGCACTCCACATCAGGGTGGAGGCAAAGGCCAGGCATGTAAAATGTCCAAGGAAGACTAGAGATTAGAGCCAAGCCCCATTCAGACTTCATCCAGAGATAATCAGTATAAGGCACACTTTACCCCCGATGGCATTGATTTAAAAACTGCATGCGCCACTTAGGAGGCCACACCAGCACTGCTTTTGCTTTCATTGTTAAGTGCAGGGTGTACTGAAAGTAGCAAGAGCAAAAATCATTTTGTGAAACTTCTGGGGTTTATGTGTGTGAACGAGATTCAGGGGTGTGATGGGAAATGTGTTACTGTGCTCTACCATCAAAAAGGCTGAAGGGTAGGCGTGGTGGCTCACGCCTATAATCCCAGCAGTTTGGGGGGCCAAGGCAGGTGAATCACTTGAGGTCAGGAGTTCAAGACCGGCCTGGCAATATGGTGAAACCCATCTCTATTAAAAATACAAAAGTTAGCCGGGTGTGGTGGCACACACCTGTAATTCCGGCTACTTGGCAGACTGAGGCAGGAGAATCACTTGAACCAGGAAGGTGGAGGCTGCAATGAGCTGAGATCATGCCACCGCACTCCATTCCAGCCTGGGTGACAGAATGAGATTCTGTCTCAAAAAAAAAAAAAAAAAAAAAAAAAAAAAGCTGAAACACTGCTCTAAGAAACAGATCAATATCAGTCATTTCCCCCTTGGATAGGCCGCTCATTTCTGGACTGGATGCTCTAGAAGAAGGTGAGAAAGATGGCAGAAAATATCAGTTTCTGCTGGTGGCATCTGCCTAAACTGTGCAAAATCACTTTCATTCAGGGGGCACTCCCTCTCAGTCTTTCCATAGTGCTCATCCAGATTAGGACCATCCTCTGAAGCCCCAAGGCAAGGGCCCTCTGGCCTCCTCTACAATACACCCTGAAGCAACTGAAGGCTTAAAGCAAGGTAACAGAATTCTTGATGGCAGATTGAAAGCCAGCATACATTTTAATAATTCTAGGAATATTCTCGGTTGAAATGCCTCTGCAGCTTCTACTCTAATTGACCCTGGGATGGAAATCAAGAGGAAAGTAACCTTTGGAATCTCAGGGATCAAAGGCAAAACCAGCTGCCTAGTCCTGAGCAGCTGCGCCCAGCAAGCTTCAATGCCAGCGTGCTCTGCAGGTACCACGGTTGTTTGTAAGTCTGAGCTTCGTGCTAGACTTTCTGCCTACAAGTCCAGCTGCTCCTGTGCCCAGCATGCACCTGACTCATTCGAGGTGCTGGTGACTCTCCAGTGAATCAGGCCTAGTATTTACCACGTTGGTGCGTGGCTGCTGCTGTTTACATGGCTACTGTAAGCCAGCAGCTGGTTCAAAACATTCATTTTATCCCCACCCTCAGTATGTATGTAGTTACCTTATTTTCCTATATTTTTTCAACTGTTCCAAATTGACATCACAAGTCAAAATGCTTTCTGAAAAATGAGAGAAGACCTGTCACAAAGCCAACATCCTATGTAGATACTTAGTTCAGCACAGCATGTGAAGTTCTAAAGTGAGAATTCTCTCCCTCAGCAGTCTGAATTTTTTAGCCGTCCTTTACATAAATCATAACCAGATCTCACTGATAATACTAGACTGATAAGGGGAAGATTTATTTAGGAAAGGTAAAACTCCTCATTTGTATCACACAGCTTCACTTGTATAACAAAAGAACATCCGAATTCCTCCAAATTGAACATAGTCACTAGGAGGCCTTTCCCAGCCTAAATCAAAAGCACTGCCCTCCCCCGGCCTGCCCTTCACCCACCCCCATCTAAATTCATCAATTACAAGTCAACAGTGTGGCACTCAGCTCCAGCATTGTGGGTGGAGACCACGAACAGACAACTGGCGCTCACTCTTCTGGTTTCCTACAGCGTCTTAAAGCTTCTCTAAAGCACAGCTTCCAGCTTTCCTATCCAGAGTGCAGGAGAGGGCCCTGGGAAGAAGCCCACAAGCCTGCCGATCTGGTGGAAGAAAATGCTGGGCCTGGCAGGAAACAAAGCCAGCGCAATGCCGAATGCGAAGCTCAGCAACCGTGCACGACAGAGTGCTGTGGGTGCAGCTCCTTTGTGTGCCTGCCGCACGGGTCAGTGGCCAATCAACAGGCTGGAAACTCAGGGGTTCCCCCTGTTTGGGGCCAGATTTATTGTGTAACCTCAGGCAACTCCCGCCTCACTCTGATTCAGTGCTTTAATCTGCAAATCAGGGATGAATATCCATGTAATGGTACTGAGGAGCAGTAAAAAGCATAGATGACTTCAGAGCCTGCTGCAAGTAGGAAATACAGCATGGGAGAGAAGAGGACAAAGAATTGCTTAGAAGGAAATATGCAAATATCTCAAATACAACTTGGGTTTGCTTCTGTTCGGACTGAGAAGAAGGAACAGGTATTCTTAGAATTATCTTTTCTAATAGAGGTAGTCAGAAGAAAAATAGAAGTAGGAACATCAGAAAAGAGGTGACAGACCCCAAATACTTTTCAGTCTGGGAGCCGTGCCCTCAGTTACTCCTAAGAATATTCTCTCACAAGAGAGCTCTTTAAACTTTTTGAGAAAATAACTAGTTAGCACACCCAGAGGCTACCAGTTTCCCTGTAATAATCCCTGATTTTTTTAAACCTTATCCCTGTGTCAACTCCTTTCTTTGTTGAGTCTACTTTTGTGATCCTGAGATAATATGGAAAACCTGTTATCCATTTTGAAGTTTTAATCAAGATGGGGAGGTCTGCACTTTTCAGTTCAAGTTTAACACTTCCGTCTCCAGTGTTTCAATTAATCCTACAAGTATACGAGTATTTACTCTGTGGGTTCTTCCACCAGACACAGCGGGAGATCATAAAGAAGATTTTACAGTCTCCAGTCTCAAAGCATTTACACTGTTATTTGTGACAAGACTCTAGTTCCCACATGAAAGCATAGTTCCCACAGACAACAATGGGCAAACCGTGGTAAGGTACAGTCTGTCAGCACTAATTTGCATGATACCAACCTGAGGCACAAGAGGAAAGTCTCTGGGAGTGGAGAGATCAGTGGGGGTTGGATGAGTCAGGATTTTAGGAGGGCCTGGGGATGACTAGGATTTAGGTGGCTGTGGGAGTAGGAACAATCTTTGTTTCAGACAAGAAACGAAAGAATTACATATGGCAGATATTCAAGAAACAGGCATAGATTTGAAAGCAGGCAGGTGGGAACCGGCTTATGGAGAACCTTGAAAATCAGGTAGAGGAGTCTTAAGGGTAGAGAAAGCAGCAAGAAGTCATAGGAATGTCTGCTTTTGTTTGTAATGGTAACTCCCTTGTTCACTATTTATTAAGTTTGAGCAAGAGGGATTCCACTGGCAATGGTGTGCACGGTGAAAGGCAGAATGCCTGGACATCAGGATGCTGGTTTCTCAGGGCTCATACTGAGGCTGGATGAGGTGAGGAAGACCTAGTCGAGGGTGATGAAAGTGGGGAGGGAAGGAAGGTATAAAGATGACCTTTTTCAAGAAAAACAAATATCTAGTGGGACCTGATGAATGACCTGAGATGGGAAGTAACTGAGGAAGAGGAGGAGTGAGCAGTGAGAGGAGGGAGGGACAACTGGCCTCCTGAGTTAGGAGTAAAGGGGATCGCCATTTGATTTTAGACTTGTGTTGAGCTCAAGGTAGTAGAGAGGAATAGACAAAAAGGTACAAATGTCCAGGGGGTAATTTCAGGTGAGTTAGACAGGACTGGAGAGATCCAGGTGGGTACTCTGAGCTTGAAGATGACTCATTTCATGAATGTGGATGAGCTCTCTACGGGGAGAGAGAGCAATGGGCCTGGAGGAAAAATAAACTCCAGAGAAGGAGAAAAAGGAGGAGTCAATGAAAAAAGGGCTTGTTCATCAGAAAGTTAAGGCGGGGTTAACGAGTGGGTAGAGTGACAAAGCAGGACGAACAAGGCTCTGGTCTTGGAGTGCTAAGTGGGGAAGAGAGACATTGACCATATAGGTAGGTTGGGTGCCACAGGAGGGTCTGCAGATGGACCCTGCCCCACCGGGGGGTGGGTTTGAGGTTGAGGATGGCAGTTTCTGGGAAGAGAAGCAACAGTGAACTGTATTTCTGCCTTCTATTTAGTAGACATACAACACACTGACATCTAAGGGAACCTTATGATGTGTGACCATCTTGATCACGTTATCTCCCAACACTCAAGACAGCTCATCAGCCAGGAAGTTGTTTACGTGGCTTCACTGAGAACTGCACTTCTTCCGAGACCTCAAATTCCAGGACACTCACTCTACAGTACACTCACTCCTCCACTGCAACTTCTAAATATTCATCGAGAACCTTCTGCCACCCCACCCCACCCAGCAGTCTCCTGACCTTTCTTCCTCACACACCTCCCCTATGTTAGATGCAGAATTACCAGACACCTTTGCTCTCCCACCCCAGTAACCCTAGACCCCAGCGCCCGCCCATCTTCCTACTCCCACGACACCTCCAGGGCTGCTGGGGAAATGGAACTTACCAGGCAGGCAGCGTCACCACAAATGGCGCTCTCTAGCTTTGGGCAGAGTTTTCAGTGCTGCATGACTATTCTCATACTTGTCCCAGACCTTCTCCCTTTCCCAGTCTCTTCGGCGGCCATGCTAACTTCCCCTCCCAGGGTCAGTCCCCTCACTCTTAAGGCTTCACCTCCTACCTGCTTCGTAGAGAAAGGAGAAGACATCAGACACACCAGCCACTCCGCCTCCCAGGCCCCCAGTACACCAACGGTCACCATCCCCTGTACAACATACTGATCAGGACCCAGACTAGGGGGAGACAAGGGAGCCATTTACTTTAGGAGCAAAATTTAAGGGGGTACCAAAAACTCAGCATAATACTTTGATTTAATAAAAAATTTTTAAAAATTAAAGTTAAGGCAAAAAATCTACAATAAACAAAATGTCCAACCTGTAAACCAAGACAGGATCCAGCCCTGCGCTTGCACAGCACTGCCTCACCTGACTCCCCTAACCCTGTCCTGCTGACTGGGGCCTACTGTGGGCTGAATACTGCTGACTTCCATGGACATGTCTGCATTCTTAGTATATGTATATATACCAAGTTAAAGTACCAGAAAACAATACTAGCCCTTACTGTATACAACGAAGTATCATAAAACAATGATACTTTATGTACAGAATGTATATGTGTGTGTACATATATGTATATATAGACATGAAACCTAAAATGGCTGTATGAACCATAAATGGATTATGTTCCACACAGCCGAAACCCCCAATCTAGAATGGAATCCAACCCCTACCATAAAACCATCCTCTTCCTTCAACTGCTGCCAAAACAAGAACCCAGAAATTCTATGTAAGAAGGCAGTATAATTTCATGGAAAGACTAACCAATTGGAAGAAAACTAAGAAATTTAATCATTCCATTCTAGCTCTGGTTTTTTCCTTGCTGGGGAAATAAAATATTGTAGTGAAACCTATATAGAAAATAAGACTGAATTGATGATTTTCTTCATTTTAACAATCAATTTAATATTTGGAGTATCTCTGTGAGTCATGAAAATATAATGATCCCTTTAAAAGTGACATGCTTATAAAGCAGGACTATATAAGACTCCTCCAGTGAGTCACAATTTAAAAAAGAAATTCCTTTATATCCTCATTCTTTTCTACCTTTTACATTTAAACTTTTATTACTTAATAAAGTCCCATGTGAGAGGGTTTTCAGCTCCTGCCCAGACATATCTAAAGGAAAGAAAGAGAAAGTTTCCTGTACCATCTTCACGCTGCATTTTGCGCTACATTCCAAGTTCTCTTCCTGGCTCCTTCTCATCATCTGTGTCCTGTTAAGTATAGCTAAGACCAATCTTCAGATCAGGAAGAATAAGCCCCAGATTTACTGGAAAAGCTATAATTTCATCTTCATAGATTTTTTTCCTTAATAAATTAGTTACAATAAATAATTGGTGTTAAGAAATGTAACTCGTTACTATTTGGTACTAATTGCCTATTCTGTTTGCTCAAGAAGGAAGGGGACAATGTGAAATTTGAATTTATAACTCACATTTTAAGATGAAACATTAGATATATTTATAACTGTTATATTTCCAATATAAGACCTGTAAAAAAGAAAAATCTACCTAATGGCTATCTTCAAGTGTTTCTGTGGCCTGGGACTTTAGCTATATGAAACTTTATTTCAAGCCATGGGCAGAAGTTAGAAGCCATTTGGAGTTCTTATCCTTCTGCAGAGAATACATTTATAGAGTTAGTTAGTTCTTGATTCAGTGTTAGTCCAGAGACTTTACATTCCACTTTAGCAATCATGGCTTTGGGACAGAAGTGAGAAGTGGGTAATAAAACCTACAATGTGAATCCAGGTTCACGATCTCCACCTACATAAACTAAGTTACATCTTTCTTTATAATGTAAGGTAAACATGGGTGTACATTTCTGTTTGCTGGTTATGGGGGAAATAAAGACAGGGAAATATCAAATGAACAAATGGGTAAAGACAGACCCAAAGTCGTGGCATGGGATTATATTCTTTTAGAGAAGTTATATTAAACCAATAATAATTCCCAGTAACCAGTTTGATTATGCAAAATTTGAAACAATAAAAAAGCTGTCATATAAAGGAGGTCTCAGAGAGGTCAAACATTTGCTTTTCTAAGCTTGAACCTCTGTGTTCATTCTTGCAACACAGTTGTTTGGGTTGACAGGGGTGCTTGCTCTTTTAAATACAATTCTTGTCTGTTCTTTTCTTGCCTACTTAAGAAACGAACTTTTTGTTACCCAATCTAGCAACAGTTGCTACCATGGGTATGTTTACCATACACCAGGCCCTGCTGCAAATGCTTTACAAATACGGTAGCTCTTTAAGCCTTACAACCACCTTTGTGGGAGAAAGGATCTCCCCATTTTGCAGAAGATACTGAGGCTCCAAGATACCGAGTTAACCATGTCACGTCTACAAGTTCCAGACCCCATAGCAGCTTAGAGTAGCTGGCCAGCCCCAGCCCCACCCCTGTGCTCTTCACCTGCTCCTTCTCCCTGGCGTGGGCACAGGATTTCCTGCACTTCTCATCAGGAGGGGAGGGCAAGGGAGCAGGTAGGCAGGGTCCAGAGAAGCAACCCAAGATGGAAGAGAATTTGCTTCACTGCCAGAAGTTTGGAGTCCTTTATGTTTTGCTGCATTTCGTTAGCACTTGTTCTTATTTTCTTTACTAACATCCTCTTTTTCAAACCTTCCATTTCAGTTTTCCCTCCTTCTTCTTGGTCTCAATAGTACTAGACAGTGGGCAGAGGTGACTTCAGCAGTCTGTGTCCTTTGGGTATAATCTTTCAACCACAAAAAAGATTCAGGGACTCTAAGGACAGAGATGCAAAGTTGCAGAAGGGGGAAAAAGAGGTGAGGAGGAAGGAAGGAGAAGAGGCAAAAAAAGTACAGGACTCAAGGAGGATGTTTTAAGCAAGTATTGGGTAAAATGAGAGATGAGGAGTCAGACAGACACCCGCGCCTGGAAAAGCTGTCATTCTCTAATGAAAAAGCTGTATCAAAATTGTTTCAACATGTAAAGGCAGGGGAAATCTGAAGACATATTCGAAGTCAGCTGATAAAATGACACATAAGTAAACCTGATGAACAGCTGTAAACCGGTTATCCATCATAAGGTAGATGAATCAAAAATACAAGTTCACCTATCAATAAGAGTAAGAATTATTGCCTAAAATGCATGCCCATCCCCTCAATGTGATACAAAACATACTGCAAATAGCTACCACGCCCAACGCCACCCCTGCCACACCCCACTAGGACTCCCCAGACACAATGACTGCTTTATTTGAGTCACTAGAAGAACAACGTTGACTCCAGCTAGAATTTTTCAAACATTCTTGAGATTTTTTAGGATGGCTTTGCCCCAGAAAAACTAAGATATATTTGAAATGTTGCATTACGTTTGGTAGCCTTCCTCCACGAATCTGAATTGGAAACCCATATCCAGTTGGCCCTGGTACATTCATGGGTTCCACATCCTCAGATTCAACCGTGGATCAAAAATATTCGGAAAAAAAAAAGTATGGTTGTGTCTATACTGAACGTGTACAGACATTTTTTTCTTGTCATTACTGTATAACAATTGTGTACATAGCATTTACATTGCAGTAGGTATTGTAAGTAATTTAGAGATGATTTAAAATACATGGGCCAGGCATGGTGGCTCATACTTGTAATCTCACTACTTGGGAGGCTGAGGCAGGAGGATCAGTTGAGCTCAGGAGTTCAAGGCTACATGCTTCTAGACTCCAGCCTGGGCAACAGAGTGAGACCCCATCTCCAAAAACATAAAAATAAAAAATAAAATGTATATGGGAATATTGCACAGGTTATAATGCAAATGCTACACCATTTTATATAAGGGATTTGAGCATGTGTGGATATGGGGGTGTCCTGGGACTAATTCCCAAAGGATACCAAGGGACAACAAACCATGGACCCCAAATCAGGTGCTCTGTGAATGAGAGCTCTCCTCTGAGATGAGGGAAGGGGGGAGAAGATGGAAATGGGGGAAGGCTTTGTGGGAGAGATGGCAAATGAGCAGTAGCTAGAACAGAATTCAAATGTGGGATTGGGGAGGAAAGGAGGAAGACACAGGTCAGAAAGAGAAGGAGAAGTCTATGGTCATACCACCAGGAATGCGCCCAATCTTGGCTGATCTCAGAAGCTAAGCAGGGTTGGGCGTGGTTAGTATTTGGATGGGAGAAAGAAAAAGAGGAGTGGGGCAGGGAGCATTTCAGCTGGCTTAAAAGGGTAAAGTAGGCCAGACACAGTGGCTCATGCCTATAATCCCAGCACTTTGGGAGGCCAAGGAGGGTGGATCACAAGGTCAGGAGATTGAAACCATCCTAGCCAACATGGTGAAACCCTGTCTCTACTAAAAATACAAAAATTAGCTGGGTGTGGTGGCATACACCTGTAATCCCAGCTACTCAGGAGGCTGAGGCACAAAAATTGCTTGAACCTGGGAGGCAGAGGTTGCAGTGAGCCGAGATCATCGCACCACTGTACTCCAGCCTGGTGACAGAGAGAGATTCTGTCTCCAAAAAAAAAAAAAGGGTGAAGTAGAGGGATCAAGGAATAAGACATTCCAAAAAAGACTATGCAGGAATTTTTTTTAAAGCACATAAGAGAAAAAGTTGTGGCTTGAGTGGGTAAATGTCAAATCACTTAGTTTGGCTAGAAGTTAGGGTAAAGCGAAAAGAGGGAAAAAAAGAGATCAGAAGGGTTAGCTGTGGTCAAATCATAGTAAGAAAAACCATGATTCAGAAACAGGGTGATGATCCAACCCAGTGTCTGCCTGTTATCCAACGGCAGTTCCTGTGTCCCATTCTGGACACCGTATTTAGAAGCAGCCGTTGATAGAGGGTTTATAACACAGAGGTACCAAAAGTAGACGATGGTGTAAAACAAGAGGTACATGTCACATGTTTCTGTCTTGGTTGACCAACATTTAGTGTAAGTTAACTACCCTTTATTAAGTGCCCGCCCTGTTCTAGGCGTTACAGTGGGCAGCCCTGAAAGTAGGCTAATACCAACATTTAACTAATTCAACAAATATTAACTTGTCACATACTGTGTAGTAGGCCATGGGCAGGATGCTAAAAAGACCTCAGAGATGTTTCAGGTGTACAACTTCTACCAAAGAGTCAGTGAAAATTCCAGTGCAAGCTGGAATCTGGACCTGAATGGAGGTGAAAGCGAGTCAAAAAGCTGAGAGTGTTTAAATGCAAACAAAAGGAGATGTGTGCTGTGCCTCCATTTACTGGTCACATGAGCTTGACTTGTCTCTAAACTATGTACCAGACAGTGTTTTCTGAGGATCACTTGAGATAACTTATTGACAATGTCCGTCCAGATGAGATGTTCCATATCTGTAAATTTCCTTTCTCCAGAACCTGTTCATGTAGGTTTACCAGGATGGGTTAGTGAGTGGATGGCTGATTTTTTTTTTCAGGAGGTTTTCTCTTTTCAGAATGCTGAGCTATACTCATAATATACTTCTTCTCAAAAAACATTAATTAGGTAGGAGTTTTTAAAAATACTGATCTGATTGCTAAGGACCATTTAACACTTTGCAAATACTGTTGAAGCAGAAGTATCGTCCCTAATTGACTGAATATGGTCTTCCCATGTTTCCCATTATTCCATTCATGGAATAATGGTCTTCCATTATTCTTGGCAGGAAAGAACATGGTTCCCATAAGCACTTAAAATATATTTCAATTAGGATGACACAAGTATAAGATCATACGGTCCTCTAAAGTAAGAGAAGGAAATCTGAGGTGAGTCCATCTTTTAACTTATTTTGCTTAGAGCACTGTGAAAAAGTTATAGAAAGTTATAGGAAAGGAGCAAAAGAAATCCAGTCTGAAATATTAGGTGGATCTTAGGCTGTGGGCCACTATTGTGAACTTGAACTTTTGGGCTTTGTTGTCTACACACTGGGTAGAACATTCTCTTCTGTAGAGGGCTTCTAGTGTGAAAGCCTTCTATGGAAGAGAAATCTTAATACGTTACATATCAAAGCCAGCATCTGAATTTGTAGAACTAAGAAGTTTTAAAAAATTGCTTTTTTATTCAAATCTCGTATCTCACCTGATCAAGTTGCTTATCCTTTAAATATAAAGATTCTTACATCCCCTGTATATAAACTAATACATAATAGATACTGCACACTGTAAGGAAAGTATTTAATTCTAGATTTACACTGTTCTGGCTACATCTTTGCTCACAGAGATTTGATGTCAAAGGGCAGAGCTCTTGTAATAATTTACCATGCCTCAGTTTCTGGAACACAGATACAATGAATTCCTCTCTTTACACGGTTATTATAACAATGAATTAAAATAATGGCGATGGAAATATTTCAGAAAAGGCATAATGTATTATAAAATGCAAAGCTGAGATCTATTTACTTCAGCATACATAAAATTCCCCCCAAACAGGGTACATTTGTTATTATGTGAAGAGACAATTTCCTTCTGAATTTCTCCCAGTTTCTTCCTGACACCTCCTGCGCTCTGAAATGCAGATTCTAGTGCAATTGGGCCTCAGAAGGCACTTGACCCTTCACAATGTGAAAGTCACCAAGTGCAACGATTCTAGCCAAAGTGACCCATTTTAAAAGATGACCCATTTCAAAACCCATGAGTTATTACTCAAGCTGTTCTATTTTTGAGAACTAGAAAGTTATTTTCTTTATTTTTTTTTTTACAATCTCACCATTTGAATGTCTTATGAAAAGAGATAAATAATCTCCACTTTAATGAAATACAATGTTTCATTTTTTATTTGATAGAGCCTGCACTTTATTTTGAAAATTCTGCACCTTCTTCTGAGTTTTCTCTGGGCAGGGCAATGATAAGCATCTCTGCCTCCTACTCATCTTCATCTCCCACTTTCTGGGGAACAGCTGCTCTGGGCTCTGGCTTGGACTTTTCCTGTAATAACACTGGTTCTACCTTAGGTGCCACAGGGAGCCTTGCAGGGCCGGGAAGGGTCAGCCTGAGTCAGCCTCCTCCTCAGGCTCAGAGCGTGTCCGGGAGGAGAAGGAAGCTGAGAAGGGGCAAGAGAGAGGACAAGCAGGTTAAACACAAAACGGAAACATTTTGGTTTTGCATTTAGCTTGCTTTAAAAGCAAAGAGTTGGCCCCAAAAAGCAGCTTTCACCTCCTCACTTGTGACCAGATAGAAAATCTACCATACATTTTTTTTGAGAAAGTTAAAAGGTCAGCTGCTGACCACTAATCACCCTTTCAGAAAGTTGAGGGTGGGATCATTTCGGTGCCACCGCTTAACACAACTACCTTCAATCATCCTTTTCTGGGTCAACTTCAGCTTTTCACAGTCCTCTCCCTTCCCCCGCAGGGACCAGGCAAGGTTTCCCAAAATAAGGCACAGAGGAACAAATCCAATTCTGATGGATGTACTTTCATCAGACAATTACCGTAAATACGAGCTACAGGCCACCGCCAGCCACGGTGCGGTTACCAAGGTGTCCCTGTGACAGGACCACAAAAACCAACACTGGCCGAGAACGTAGTGTGCAGAGTCGAGTTGAAAACGGTTACTTTTCCCTGCATGTATCCAAGCAAGCAACTCCAGGCCTGCCACACTGGGACTCGAAATGAAATTCGGCAGAGTCGGAGGCAAGAGCGGCCCGACCTCCCCGCTGCCCGATTCCCGGTCCCCAGTTCCCCCACCACAACCCCCCGAAAGCGCCCAGGCCGGCGGTTTCCTCTTTCCAGCCCCAGTGCGGGCTTTCGACTCGAATTCCCTCCAGCCGGGGCGGGGGGCCGCCAGCCTGGGGCCCTCGGCCGGAAACCCAACCGGTGGGCGCGGCGTTCGCCTCGCGGCTCCCGCGCCCGGGCCGGTCCCGCCGCCGCCGAGGAGCCGGAGCTCCCCAGGGAGGGGCCCCCGCCAGCCCCGGGAAGCGCCCCCCGCCGGAGCCGCCCGCCCGAGCCTACCTGCCGCACCTGGGCGGGGACCCGGCCCGGGTCACAGCCGCTGGGCGCCCTCGCGGCCGGGCGGGAGGAGACAAAGGCGCTCCGAGAGGGCACGAGCCTCCGTCCCCGCCGCGCCTCCGGAGGGCGGCGGGCCCGGGCCGCGGTGGGAGGGCCGCCCCAGCTCCCCGGCGCTGGGCCGCGCGGTGCGGGCCAGGGCGGCGGGCCCCGGCCTGAAGTCCTGGCGCCACCCGCCGGGCGAGGGCTGCGGCGCCCTCACCTCCTCGCCTCCCTTCCCTACGAGCCCTGGCCCGGCCCGGCGCGGCACACTCGGAGCCTCCCGCGCCGGAGGCCGCCAGCCGCCGAGACGAGGAGGCGGGGCGGGGCGGGGCGGGGGCGGGGCCCCAAAGCCTGGACCGTGCGGGGGACCCAGGGAGCCCGGCTTGGGGCCGCGGCACGGAGGAAAACCGTCCGAGGCCTGGGGACGTATCCCGCCGAGCCGCCACAACGTTCCCACTTAGGGATCCGGCAGGGGAGCCACATTCCCACCCTCAGAGGGGCCTCGGCGCGCGGCGAGATGCGGCACCGCGGTGTCACCGCGTAACTGACCCCAGACGGCCTCCGCGCGGAACCTCCGGCCGGGGGAACCTCCGGGCCGG